ATTTTTTTTATGTGGCTCTGCTCTCTCCCTCTCTTTCTATCTGGTGTACGCAAACACATACAGATACACAAACTAGGACTCAAACTGCCCATTTTATGACATTTTTAATTACTTATTTTGCTTAAAATTGTGTGCGAGTAGGCGAATAAACAAATTGTGTCGCAAATTTTGTCTCTGGTTTGGGGATAGCACTCCATAGATTTATAGATACAGTTTTATCCATGTTGGGCACACATACTCTTGCAAAAATATGGCTTCGTTTATGAGCAAATAAAATAATGAAAATTGCGATACGAAAATGTTCCCTAGCAGCAGCAGTAGCCACAGAGCAGAGCAGAGCAGCAGCAGAACCATCACCAAGAGCCTTTTGTTTGTCTTTTATTAGGATAGTAAAAGTCTTTATTGTTGTTGTGCCTGCTGCTGTGGCTGGGCGTGTTGTCCGTCCAGTTGTCCGGTCAGTAGGCCAGGCAGTCAGTCCGGCAGCAATGCCAGCCACTTGACCAGCCCCAGCACAATGACGACAATGACGATGACGTTGCTGTTGCTTTTGCTTTTGCTGTTGCTGCTGTTGTAGCTGTTGCCGTTGTTGCTCTGACCTTTTGTCCAGGAGGCTGGTCGCTGTGGCTGCTAGGGCGCTGCCCTGGCAAATTTTTATATAGTTTAGCATATTGCTTTGCCATTGTTATTGTTGGTGCTTTTGCTATTGGTGTTGGTGTTGCTGCTGCAAATATTTTGAGGAGAATAAGGCCAAAAGGCAAGCTGTAAGCATGGCATAATTTGGAGCGCAACCGCAGCCAGGATGGGCACATTGATGAGAGGACAAACAAGTGCTGCCAGCTGTGTAACTCAATTCTGCTGATGTCTAAATAGACATATGCAATTCGGGGCCTGCTCACATTTTGATTGTCTTCATTTAGTTAAGTTTTATGCTGATTTACTTAGGCCACAGACGGACAAACGGACAGACTGACAGTCAGACAGGCAGACAGACAGCAGCAGAAGTTAGCGACAGGCATTTACGACATTTTAACGCTTGAGTGATAAAATCTGAATGCGTGATATATAAACCCACGGCCAGGCAATAAACCAGGCACACAATGGACCACAATATGGCCAAAAGTCTTTGTAGGCATTCATTGAATTTCAGTCGGAACAAACCTAATGTTTTGTATCTTTGAAGTTTGTCCTTTTCAATTTTGCATTTTCTATACGCAATGAACTTGATCGCAGTGGCTTAGAATTCGGTGCTTCAAATTAATTTCGGATGTCATTTCACTTGGAGTAAGCGACAGCTGCTACAATAACAATGCTGACCTGCGTGTAGAAGGGTTTGCCAGGGTTTGTCTTTGCGCCACGTTATCCAGCCAACTGCCGAGTACCTAATGAATATTTAAAATCCAGCACGCCCAACTCTCTCACATACCAACACACACACACACACACACACACTCAGTCGAACACAAAAAGAACTGGCATGCTGGTTGCTCTGGCAGCACATTAAATAAAATTTACAAGTATATTGAATGTGAAATTTATTTAAATAGCCCAAAATCGTTGGTGCTTAAATAAATCCATTTTAAATGTGATTCTTTTTTGTGTATGCAGAATGCGGCGCACAGACAAGGTAAGCATACAATACTTATACAAAGTATCTTAATCCAAATTTCAAATGAATAGCATTTCCGATTACAGATTTCCACTTTGAAATGCGGCATGTGTTCAGTTAACCCGTATCTTAAAGTGACCATGCATTGGCTTTAAAGTAATTAAATTTGAATGGTATTACGCATACGCCGCATGTGGTATGCGAAGTATGTATGTGTTGTGGCAACAGTCGGTTCATCATCATTTCACATCATCTCATCCCAAGTCGTTTCAACAATGTAGCAAAGTTTTCAGCATCAGCGACGCCAACGTCGACCGCAGCGGGTATCAGCATTGAAATAGCAGAAATTTTGATTTTACGACCTTGTTGCCGTCATTAACGTTATTTTATGATGACGCCGATACGACCACAAAATATTGTGGCGCAGCTTCCCGCAGCCAAAGGACTTGCACTGGCTTTGCGAAGGCCCCGCCGAGACACCACATCCACATCCACACCCACAGGACCCCCAATCCCGCGAAGTTATGATGCTCGTCGGAAGTATAAGTAAAAAACCAATAAATGTTAATGAAAATACAAGAGACAAAGTTTAGTTTTTCCCGAGTTACCCCTGCGCACAGCATGTGTGAGCCTACTCTGCCGACGTCAAAGTCATGTTGAAGTTCCTGTTTCCTCATCCTGTGCGATTATGTGATTGTGTGTGTGCGTGGCATCGAACATAAGCTGATAATATTATTGCGCTATTAATGGGCTCAGGTTTTTATGGGACTTTTAATCGCTTTTGTTACTGTTGCCAAAGTTGCAACTATAACTTGACAATGCTCGCTCCATACAAAAGGAATGGAAAAGAATGTTGCGTGTGCGAATATCTCCCCCATCGTCACTCTATTTCCGGCTCTCTCTGTCTCTCTAGTTTGAGTTCTAAGCAGTCAATGCAACATTTAGTTGCGGCCAAGGGCAAAAACTAATTGCAAAGCCAAACGCACAAGCGACAACTGTGGCTGCGGCAAGGTGTGTGCCGCAAGCAGAAAAGCAATTTAGCAAATTCTTTGTCGTTTGGCAAATACAAAAGCCACTCTTTGAGTTGTTGGGCTTCCCCCAACCGCCCCTTATCAGCCACCCACCAATTTGGCTGCCTGCTGCAAAATCAATTTTAATGATACGATAGAGAAAAAGCAGAGCGCTAAATATATATAGAAAACCGCTTGAATAGCAAAGAAGTGAAGCGAAGGCGACAAACTCCATGCCACCTCAATGAAATGGTCGTCCACACATCCAATCCTTAAGAGCAATGCAATTGACATGGTTGGCGGGATGAAGGGTGACACATGCAGGCAGTCATTGCTTTTGTTGTGGCTTTCAACGAATGAAAACTTAACTGATATAGTCAAAATCGAAATACCCTAACTGTAAATGTAATAACTGCAAATTGTTTCAAAAGCCACTCAAATCGTATCTTCTTGAGAGATTTAGAAAATTTCAATGTGCGCTAAGTTGTACTGTAAATCTTTTTGGAGAATTTCTGTGTAAATGACACATTCCGGTAAGCGTTACTAAGCCAACAACAAAATGTATTGTGCTCCACTTTGTGTTGAGGTAGCGCAGCACAAAAGGTGTAATGAAGGAGCAGTTGGAAGGAATTTCTTTGTCGCTCACAAGGCGAGTGTTGGCTTGTCGCAATTAACGTTCGCGGAAATTCCTGACAGCCAAGTAGGTAACTTCAACAGCAGCAGGCAGCGAGCCAAGCAAGGCGCTGGTGCGAATATGGCACGGAAGTTGTTGGGCTCACGCGGCGTATACGTGAATTAAATTGTGACTTGAGCTGCCAAGTGACCTTCTCAGTGTGTTTGTCTGTGTGTGGCAACTGCCTGTGTTGCATGTCAACATACGTCTTATATGTTGCACGTTGCATGTCGCATGCGCTTGGCAAATAGTACTTGGCTTAGCATTGCTTCAGTTCGTTCATGCTTCAGACTGCATTTAGCAGGATCTTTTCTTGTTCTTTTGTGCTGTGACAATTTGGCGGCCTAGTTGTCGTTGGTGGCGTGCAATGTGCCATATGCCATATGCCAGGCGTACACAAAACAATTGCTGCTATTACAGTTTGTAATTTGGTAATCAGCCTTACGAATCTGCATAATGGCAATTGGAGGAGCAGCAGCAGCAGTACCAGTAGGAATATTAGAAGTAGCAATAGCAGCTGTAAAAGTGCTGCTGAGCAGTGGCAGAGGCGGCTTCGTTACCGTTTAGGTAAACCAGGCAAGAAAAGTTGCCAACTTTTAATTGAAGTGAAAACGACGATAACGACAGCATTGTTGGCATTGCTGTAGCTTTGTTGCCAGCCCAAGGGGTTCTGAATGAGGACTCCGCATGGGGCTTTAACACACACACACACACACACATACACATATATATACATATATATATATATTTTCATTTACACACATACAGACAAACACACACACATATATGTTGCCAGAGCGTCCGCCATTGCAAAAACAGTTGCGGAATTGCTTTTTAAGCCCACAGCGAGTCACATAAAAAAAGCAGCAGCAGAGCCGCACTCTGGGGCCCTGGGATTGAGTTGGGTTTCTGCTCTCTGCTGTGGGTCTGGCACTGCCACAGCGTTGAAGGCTAAGCCTTTAAAACGCAAAACTTTTGAGCTGCTTGAAGTTGGAGCTGTGCGTATTTGCCTATGTGTGTACTCTGCGGGCTCCAACACTCACATTTGTACACACACACAATCATTTGTGCATATGTATATTCATCGTGTATATCGTATTGGCCAATGTGCATTGTTTAGTTTAGCATGAAGTGCTGTCAGGCGTTGCTAACCTGTTGCCAGACGCTCCTTTGGCCAAGCCATCAGCGTGCTTTGCGATAGCTCGGCAAGCCCGTCAACAAACGACCTTGAAGCGAGCGATTGTGGGCCAGGTAGGAGTGGACGGATGGGGGTGGAATGGTAAGCGGAATGAGAACATTCTTTGCAGTGCAACACGCAAATATGTCGCCCGTTTCAGCTGTAGCACGCGAGGCACGCGCCGGCGTGCGATATTCGAGATACATTTCCTAGAAGCGAGCCCCGTACTCTGACAGAGTGGCTGAAGGGCCGTCCGACCAGCCTGGCTTTGATTTATTGATTATAGTCTTGGCACCACAGCATACAAAATGAGACAACATTTCCCGGTTTCGTGCGGTGTGGTGCCACATGTGGCAGAAGAGCGCAGAGTGATTCCATTAGCCAAAGCTGTTAAATAAGCCACCGCACTTAAAACATGCCAGCACATAGAAAGTGGAATGCAACTGCAAGCCAAGTGATCCCCTTCATCTCCTTTCTCCGTTGGAGGCAAGTTTAGTAAGTTCAATTAAATCAAACCCGGAGCATATTTCTTACCCTTAGACAGTTCCGGCGCCAGACGCCGTCTGCTGGCGGCAACGTCTGTAAGTGAAAATAAGAAGACAAATTAAATTACGTTTAAAGCGCTTGAGGACTACGAAAGAATATACTGAAAATCCTCGACTTAGCAATTGAAAGTTAAAGAAAAAATGCATTTAATATGAAAAGCATAGATATGAAATTTTAACTTGTGACCGTTCAACTTTGAGATATCCTTTTGAGATTTGTCAAGGTTAAGTTTATGTAAATACTAAATATGTAAATAATAAAAACTATAATTTTGCTCTTCAGATATTAAGGAATATTGAAAAGAGTGGGCAGTTTATAAACAGATACATCAAGAATAAAGCAACTATATATAACTCAATAAACCTTTTAAATATATTTTTATTATATTTCATACGCTTTTTCATTTTCGTAAGGGTATAATTATAATAGAGTACTCTCCAAATTCACATTAAACAGATCATTTAGTATGTAGACGATCTGAAATGCATGCAGCCCATTGAGTCGGGGCATTCAATTCGATTGGGCATTAACATTAGCTGGCACAATATGCCCATTTCGAGCAATATCATGATTACAGAGCAGATGAAAAGAAGCCGCCAAAGTGTGAGAATTGAATGCGAACGCCTCGCGCAATGAAATGGAATAGAATCAAGGCAACAGAAAGAGGGATGGTAAGGAAAAGGAAGAAAAACTGAGACTGTACATAAAAGAAATGAAATCCATGTGGGAGATTGTAAGAATCAGAAACGGCATCATAGTCGAGGGCGGCGGGCAGCAGGCAGCAGGCAGCAGAGGGCAGGCAGTAAGGCGAAGCCAAGGCAGGCCAGAGATAAGTAAAAGAACAAAATTAAATTGGACATTTATCAAGAGATTTTTATTGATGCCCCAAGTGCCGGCCAGGGCAAACTCAAACATAGCAAACACAGTCGCAAGCACAAACACAAATACGAACGTAAACACACACGACGGGGCGCCACAGTCGACTGGAGACAAAGTCAAGTGGCAAGAACGACAAATGCGGCCAATTATCGTTTTGAGTGTAAAGTTTTATTGGCAAGCGGTAAGTTGATTTTATTTAAATGTTGCCACTGGCACTGGCACTGGCAGCAAAACTGTCGAAAGACACGCGAGCATACATTTTAGGACCCCCATCCACCAAGCTGGCCTACTAATTACTGCCATTACTGCGAAGCGGCAACAACAGTAACGAAAACAATTACAGCGCATTTAATCACCTGCTGAAATTGTAATTGTGTTGCATACTTTTGGGGGTGGCACTCTACACACCAAAGACATACACCAAACGTTCTCCTCCTGTCTACAACTAATTACACGGACAGCAAAACAACAGCGCCATAAAACAAAACTTAAAACCCCTCGAGTGCAGAAATTTCAGATGGAGCATGAATTGTTGCCAACGCGATTTTGAATTTATTGCATGAAATTAACTTTCACAAAATAATTCACATAACTTGGGGCGTGTCGAAGGCCCAGCCAAAGTGGCTTAATAAAATAATTTATGGCTCGGCAAAATGCCCATTTACCGCTACACAATTGTGAAAGCAGCCGTCCCTTACACTCTTACTTAATCTTAATGCCCAACGGCCTCTCTTTCTGTCTGTTCGACGTCTTGTCTGTTTGTCCAGGCGCAGTCAAGTGCAAAAAACAAAGCAAATTAATTGCAAGTCAAAGGGAACCTTTGACTTTACTAAAACAACGCACCTTTACATACACACGCACGCACACACACAGAATAACACTGACAAGCGCCTTGGCAATGCCTTTATCAATATATCCTTTAAAGCCCAGCCAGCGAAGCCTAATCAAATGGGACGGCAGCTGCTTTTTCCGGAAAGCCTTCTAGGCAGCCCATTGATGCGTGTCTAATCTGCTGTTGGCCATAGACACGCCCCTTTGACCGACTAACTGCATGACTGGCAGGGGGGCTGGACCATGCGTATCGCCCTATCTGTGGCAGTCTATGTTCACTGAAGCATTCGACGGCCGTATCAACAGATGCCAAGCGTTGCCATTCAAATTTCAATTGGCATGCGCCATTTTCACGCATTTTTTGTTAACAAAAATTTCGCATTCGCTTCGATTGGCTAAAATTGTTGCTGAGATGGCAAATTTTTGATGCTCCTTTAATTGATGTAACGAAATTGGTGCGAGACTTCAAATCAAAGCTGGCGCTCATATCTTCTAAGTGGTTCCAGTCTGTGTATCTTCTTTTAGGGTTTCTGTTGTTTCGTGTCTCGTTTCTTTTATATCTTCTTGACACGTTTGACAACTTGGCATTTGTCCTTGCTTAGTGGTTGGCAAGCTCAGCAAACGCTAAATATGTAACGCGAATCAAAATTGTTCTCTGTGGTGTCGAATATTATATACTCTTCACGACATCTGCAGATATTCAATGGACTGAATACCCTCTGTTAGGGTATACAAAAGGGGACTATGACGATCAACAGGAGCATACAAACCTATGGCAACTGGGAGGGTCTTGATACCCATTTGGAAAATTGACAAAAAGCACAGGTGACAAGGACAGCGACGTCTTCAATTCTAAAGGTGCTTGCCGCTGGTTGCTAGCTGTTAGTAGCTGATGGTTGCTTGCAGCAGCCACATCCACCACTCTAGGTGACAGTGCAACATGTGCGACTGTCAGCAGTGAACATGCCGCAGACAATTTCAGTAAAAGGTTTATGCCGCAAACGGTAGCGGGTGTTGGCTGAAATTAAACTTGCAACTTTTATCTTTGCAGTTGCAGCGATGCGACTAAGCATCATAACTCAAGTCAGTGCCTGGCGACTCGGCCTGTCACTCAAGAAGCGTGAAAAACCTGCAAGACGCTGAAGAGTCATCCCGAGTTGTTGCTGCCAGCATTATGCAAACGTCCCCAAGCAGTAGGAGCATCTGTTGCAACAACAACAACAGCAGGAGCTGCAGCACCAGCAGCAGTAGCAGCAACATCTGCCGTTGCATGCACTTAACATGTTGTACCACAAAATCGTCAGCCATATGCGGCGCATATTAATTTGATGGCTCTCATATTTATGCCAAAGCAAAGCGTTTTCATTCTCTATGCTATGTTGCCCGACCCGCCTCGCCTCTACCCATGGTTGTTGCGACATTTTTTGACAAGTTGCACTCAGAGTCAACGTCGCAACAGAGTCGTAGCTGCATTTGCAATGCGAACTGGAGTCGGAGCAGCTGCTGCTTGTGCTGCTTTGCATATAGACCGACAAGTGAGAAGCAGAAAAAATCTGCAAAAAAGCATACGAGCCAAGAGCGAGTAGAGAGAAGAGCGCTGCGAAACCAATGCAACTTCAACTGCCCCCATGCTGCGACTTTTTATTTTTTATTTTGTTGCTTTTCTTTTTTTTTATCATGGCGCATTCTACTTTAATTATTTCAGCAATGCTGCCGATGCCGCTGGTAACGACATCAAATTTACATACGCAATTTCATTGTTGCCGCAGGATCTGGCCATTGTCATGATGCTTGTCGTTGTCCGACACAGTCGCAGTCGCAGTCGCAGTCGCCGTCGCTGTTGCAGTTTACGTCGCCTGTCCCTTGTCATATAACGCATTTGATATTCAAATTTTTTCGCTGCTGCAAATTCTACGAGTAGTTTGGCTTCCTTTTTGTTTTCTGCACTTGACTTTTGCTTGGGGCCTGTACTGTTTTGTCAGCTCCCCCGTCCCCACTGGTTTACTATGTGCTCATAATAATCAGTTGCAGTTGCAGTCGCTCCCCGCTTAAATTTAGTGTCGATTTTACAGGCACTTACATGCATACACACCCAACCTCCAACCCTCAATGCCAGTCAACTACGTATAACAAGTTTCTATATGACAAAAGGCATGGGGGATTCGTGCAAATTTATGGAACATTCTGGCTAAGAGCAAGCAGCTGCAGATTTCATTTACATATGATTATACAGTACAGAATAACATTGCAAACCTTTCTGTAATCTTTGTGCCTCTAAAACATGGTGAGCTAGACAACTGGATAGGTAAAGATGTAATTTTTCATAATACATACTATATAATATAATATATATATATATAATATATTTGAGTATGTTCCAAAATAATGAAGTATTATTTTTTCTAACAAATTCAAATATTATATTTTAATATTGTCAAAAATATTTGTATATTAATGAACTTTTATATTGCTGATCTGAAATTAAATGACAGTCTTCTTTATGCTGCAAGGGCGAAAGATTCCCACCACCAGATATTCACCAATAACTTATTACAGTCGATTAGCGTCCACCTTCATGCACTAAAATACGTATACTTTACATCATCTCCGCATTTTTTGAAGTGTAGTTTTTTTTTGCTTTTGAGCTGCCCAACTGTCAACAAGCAGCTTTTAGGCCTCTTGATCGTTGGGCTCTTCACAAGCTAAATGTAGCGCAATAATGAGCCGAAATATTTGCATTTCGTTTTTTTAGAGTGGCAAATGCAATAAACTCCAAAATAAAAGCAAATAAAAAGTAATCAGAATTTCAGATTCAGTCATAAAGAAAAATAAACACACGGGCTAACAGAGCCAAAAGGAATTAAAAAGTGTGCTAAATAATTCATTTTTGAATTAAAATATAAATCACTTTCACACCATTTTGTTGGCGGCCGCCAAAAGTGCCTACACAGTTCTTTCCTTGTTGCGTCGTCGTCCTTTTTTTCCAGGACACTTGTTTATTTTATTACTTTTCAACGCCGCGCAATGCAAATGAGCACAAAAGAGAGAAAGAGAAAGAGAGAGAGAGAGAGAATGAAAAGAAGGCGAAATCTTTTTAATATAAAACTGAATTACTTTTAGCAGCGATTTCCGAGAGTGTCCCGAGTGCCTCCGCACATTAAAATTGACGAACTGTAAAGGCGCTGGCACGCCCACAATTCTACTGCTGGGCGTCCCAATGGGGCAGCAGCAGTGTCGCCGTTACTGCCATATTTGCCGCAGCAGGTCGCCTTGGGTTATTAGGGAAGCTTATTAACGTGGCCAAGAGCACGGGCCCATGATAT